TAAAATTTCAGAAATTTTCGTTTTTCTATTCAATTATTTTGATTTCCAAAAATAATTAAGATTACCAATAAAAAGTTTTAAGGCAGCATATAAACCAACAGGTCCAGAAACTTCCACAACTGCATTTTTATATTCTTTTTTCAATTTCTTTTTATTTTCCAAATGCTTATTGTAGAATATCTCAATAATAGCTTTATCCATTTCTTTGCTTTGTATTTTTGATAAATTAAAAATAATTTTCAAAGAATTAAGTGCAAGAATATTCTTCAATGCTAAAGGGTGTTTTAAGGAATTGGGTACTTTTCCCACAAAAGAATATATATCTAGCAAAAAGCCTTCAGATTCATTTGAATGTAAATCTGCAATGAAAATCTTGCAATTTAAGACTAAATTTTTTAGCGGCTTGTAGTATACTTCCGTGTTTGATGAATTACTAGATTCCTATAATTTAAAATATTAGGTTGATCAATAAGGTTAATCGGTTTAGCATGTTTTTGGATTAATATTTTAATGATGTACATATGTAATGTAGTATATATCTATATACCATTCCAAAGGTTAATTATCTCTTTTGTCATCTCCATCAAATGAGTTATACCACTGTTTGGGAGTGGATCTTGTTCTAGGCACGGTCTCTAATTGATCTAATTACTAATAAAAGCACGGTCTCTAATAAAAGCACGGTCTCTAATTGAAGAATAATTTCTAACAGAAGCATACCCTACGAAGAGATCGAAAAATAGAAGCCACGTATGCATAAAGTAGAAGATTTACGGTGAGATTATGAGCTATGGTACAACTAAATTAATTGAATACAAACTAAAAAGTTTTTCTTAAGTCAAAAACGCCAGTTATTACCGTTTCTATCTCTCCAAAAGTTTTGTCATTCTTTATAAGTTCATCATATTTTTTTAATTCATTTGCAATAAATTTTGGTTCCTCAAATGGTAATTTTACATTTTTAAAATTTATTTCCACAAATTCAGCAACTTTAATTGCAAGTCTTTCAAAAGCTTCATTAAATGTTTTAAAAAGATCTTTATACTTTTCCTTGTTTTCTTCAAGAAATTTATATTCCTCGAATTTAATCGGGTCATTTCGGAGAACACCTTCACGAGTCATTCCAGTTGAATTATATTCCTCAGCAATTTGTTTTAATCGTTTAATACGATCTTCTTTTAATACTCCATCTATAAAGATAAAAATTTGTACAGAATAATAATCAACACCAATTATTATAATAATTTTAAAAAATTTATAAAATAGGGTCTCTCGGGGTCGAAACTAGTTTCCACAACCGGCATTAAATATTAATACTTTCCTCGGTTTTTTTTAGCGGCGTTACATTAAAACTCGAAGCAAGAAATTTATTTTGAGTTATGAAATTTTTTCTTGTGTTGTTAAATATACAAAACAGGAATGGATCAAAGCAAATAAATGGACACATTATTGCCTTCTTCTTATAGAAAAGGAAGTGAGAATAAAAGGGTCGGGACTTATATCTAACTATATTACAATATTAAGGTTGCTTTCATAAAAACACATCTCTCGAGCATGCTTACAAATGGATACGGATAATATCCGGATCCGCGGGTATTTCTGGATACGGATAGATATAGACGCTGTTTTTTTAATCCAACGGATACGAATGGATACTGATATGATGCTCCAATATCCGCCCATGCGTATATATATTAAGGCCTTCCAAAATTCACGAAATTATCGTTTATCTAATGTTGGGTCCGATCCGTGATCGGAAAAAAAGACCATGTTATTCTTTCGATAAATAGGTCTGTGCCGAATTAGCACTTTTAATTTTCATAAAATTTATTCAATTTTTTTTCTCTGACTTTTTGGTGTGTATCCCCGCCTATTTTTCTCATCTTAAACATAACATTTTGGCGGGAGACACAGAACAATTTTTTCCAAACCACTTGCCTTTACTTGCTTGGCAATTTTTGTTATTCACCAACACATATTTTTGGCTTGCGATTTAGCCTTCACCACATATAACATTTTTCAAACTTTGCCTGGTTGTTTTTTGACTTGCCCGATGCCTAGAAGCAAATTTTGACTCAAAATTTGCACGGATATAAACGGATCGGATATTGTTCTCACGGATAAGTCCGGACATGGTTGGCAAAATCTGTGTCCATCTGCAGGACTGTTCTTAGAGTATCGTTTACACAAGCTGTTTTAAATATTAATACCTTTATCAAAGTTTTTCGCAGCTGCGCCAACATTAAAATTCGAGGCGAGAATCAAAGCAAAAATTAACAACAATTTTGCCTTGCGTCGCATTTTTCTTTTGTTAGAGAACAATTTTCTTCGGCAAAAGTTTTTGATGTTTATTGATATTTATATAATAAATGGGATTTTTAATTTAAAAAATATTTTTATTAAATGATTGAATTAGAGTTAATTATTATGTGTATATATCGAGACAATAAGAGTGGAAAAAAGGGAGTGGCAAATTTTATTGCATTATTGCCACATAATTGCCAGATAATTTTTTAAATTTTTTATGGAAATTAGAGAAAAATTTATTAAAATAGCATTGAAAATATTAATAATTGCCCTTTAAATGGACATATCAAGCTGTATTTAAAAAAGTGCAAGGCGCGAGTTTGAACCGAACTTTTATATAAAATAAGGATAATAAATTCTCTTGAATATTCACAAGGATAGAAATCACAAGAAAATGCTCGTGAATACTCATGTGAATATTCACGAGAATCTTATTCAATAATTTTATTAAAATTTAAAATAATTATTGAATTTATTTCCAAACATGATTAATTGACAGTTAATAATTTATTAATAATTTTTAAAATTATATCCGTAAAGAAAAATCCGGACAACTTTAAATTAATGGGGCCACTCATAATTTTTGAATACGGTTTTAAAAATACCATGTATTTCTTCGTATTTTGATTGTATTTCCTATAAAATCGTTATAATTTTATTTGCCGAAGACACAAAAGATAATTTAAATTTTTTTTTGAGACCGAACAAATTTTTTAATTTTGAAAAAACTCTATTTAAAAAATCTTGTTTTATTTTCAACATCATTTTTTATAATTACTATAACTAAATATGTATATATACCTATCATTTATCCTCCGATATCTAAATCTCTTGATAACCTTCCTAACCCCTTAGATCCACAATCTCCTTCTCTGTTACAAGCTTGTTTATCAGACGAGCTATGAGTAGACAAACTAAGCTTTATCACATTCTAGTTAAAATGTTTGAGTTATTTTTTCAACGCTTCAATTAGCGTTTCTGTTAAGTAAACTTCTATTTAAATATTATTTAAATACTTTCCGGAGACTGCCTATTTAATTAGTTTATTATGATTATTTTTAATTTTTGAAAATATCATTATGATTAATTTTTATGTATTATTTGAGACATTGATGGAATAAATAAGTTATAATAAAATTATTATTTACCTTTTGTTTTTTATTTAAATTTGTTTTTTTATTATTTCTAAAATTTAGTTTCATGGATAGTTTTCCAATTTTAAATATTTTTTGATACAAAATATTATTTTCCCCCTTTAACAAAAAAGTTTTTGAATTTGCTACTAAAATTTATACAAATCTACGAATAATGGTTATAAAAGAGACAAATAAAGTTTAAAAAATAAATTTTAAATACGGTTGTCAGTTGGGTAGTTCAAGGTTAAAAAATATACAAGGGTTTGGCCATGGATGATAATTTAATGACCATTTGGAATGAATATTTACAGGGGGCAATAATCAAAATTTTTAAATAAATGCGGGTGTGATATATTTGGGTGAAGGGCAAAACACAATCCATCATAATACTAGTAATTATATTAAAGACACTGTCCACTTCTACAATATTAAATTAGATTTATGTCGATATATGTTATCTTAATATCTTGGATACCTACATGTATTCTTTCTTATCTAGTAACTACAACACTTATCTCTTAAATTTTTCGCTTTACTCTAATGTATCGGACGGATGGAATGTGTTTTGCCATACACGGATATCTTTTTGAATGCTTGCTTTAAAAATTAAATAAAAAATAATCGTTTAGTTTTTCTGAATACAGTTTGGTTTCTTTGTTTTTTTTGTTTTTTTTAATTTTCTGTTTTTTAAATAAATTTTACATTTTTACATTCTTCGATTTTTTCTTTTAATACTTTTTAATTTAACACATCCTTTTTCCACGCTTCAATTTAACTTGGGTTTCTTCAACACTTTCATTAACATTTCTGCTAAGTCCTTTTGTTCGCTACTTTTTCCGTATTCTTTGATAGTATAAACTGCGTTATCAACATCGAGCAAACCTTTGAAAATTTAAATAAAAATGTTAATAAAAGTATATGTCCAGCTATTGTGTAAATGTTTATCGTTAATACCATGGGTGAGCGCGATGCGTTTTGCTTATTTGAGTTAAATTTTGGCCTTGCGCTGCGTTTTGCGTTAATTTTGACGAAATGTACGCAAAAATACAACTAATCAGAGGACAAAAATTAAAGATATCCATCTCCTTGACCTTCCAAAATTCCCTAAATTTTCACCTGCGGCGCTGAAAAAGGAAGAAATTAGACCTATTGAAATACAAATTTCTCAGAATTTTCGCCTGCGGCGCTAAAGGTAATGTATTTTAATAACAATTTTCCATCATGGAACATCTCAGAAAAATATCGGTTCAGTATCTTGAGGTCAGATCTCCCGTCTCCAAATCCCTACTTGGAGGGATAATGGGAGATCTTTGGACTCTTCCCTAGCCCAGTGCTTTACAGCTGCTCAGCGTAATGCCAAAAGTTCGGTACACTAACTGATGCAATGTGAAGAATAAATAGATCCAATAATAGATCCAAGCACAAAAAATAACTTAAAACTGAGAAGCGGTTTCCAACCAACGGTAAGGAGTTACCGTTAAAGTAACTTGTGTAGAGGAAAAATTATAACAGTTAATATCGAGTTATTTTTCTTCATTTTCAAAAAACTTGCCTTCTTTAATAATTTCTTCGTTCGTAGAAATTGCAGAATTTTTCTCGAATTGCAGAATTTTTCTCTTGAAATAATTTTGCTGCATATTCTTTTTCATAAATTTTTGGCATAATTGTTTTCTTAATTAAACTAATTTTATCAAAATAAAGAATAGATTCGTCTTTTTCATCAATAATATTAATACTAGTACTTGCTTTTTCTGTTTCCGATTCTTTAATTATTTTAAATGGTATCTTATTGTTTTCGTTTTCATATAATTCATCATATACATGATAAAAAACTAATTCAAACCACATTTCTTTTAATTCTACAATAAACTCATCATATTTCTCCAACATTTCCTTGCGTTTATTTTCCATCCTTTTTTTCAAAATTTCTTCATTCTCATTTTTTATCTTTTCCAGTTTATTTTCCCATTCCTTTTTTTGGTCGTTTCGCATCTTGTTTAATTTTACTTTCGATTCTTTATAGTTCTTGTCTTCAATTTCTTTTATTTTTTTCGACATTTCATCACTTTCGTTTATTTTTTCTTTCAATTTTATAGACACCTCTAAATTGTTACGTTTGGTTTTAAATTCTTTTAGTTCTTTCTCAATTTTCTCATATTCAACTTTTAATTCTTTCAAGTTTTCTTTCAAAATCTTTGCTTGTTTACTCCATATCAGGGCTAATTTTTTAGCAACATCATCATGATTGTATTTTAAATCGTCAATTGTTGCTTCATTCCATTTCTTTTTAAATTCCTCATCATTCATCTCTTTCACTACCTTCCTTTCATTTTTAACTTCTTCAATTAATTCAACAATTGCCATAGGTGTTTCTGAGTCAATCAGTATTTTTGTCTTTGTCTCAAATATTTTGACAAAAATATTTCCGTCAGTCTCGGTAAGATCGTTATACCAAAGTTCTTTTCCATTTGGGAATGTTTTATAAACTTTGCCTGTTCTAGTCAATGGATATTGAGAATTATCTTTTACCTCCTTCAGACCAAAATATAATAAACAAGTCATATGATAATAACGTATTCTAATTTTTTGAGAAAGGAAAAATGATTTTTCAACCAATCGACTAAAATTATTTTCTAAAAATATATTCCAGTTCTTGTTTATATTCAACTTGTATTGACTTTCTTTGAATATCCTTTTATTGTGATCTTTTTTGTTGAGAATAACAACATCATTTAAATCACAAATAAATAAATCGAAAGGAACTTCAACATTTTTCCCTTTATCAACATTATCTAATATAGCCCTTGGCTTATCATTAGAAGTATCAATGTCTAAAACATTTGTATCTAAAAGCAATTTGAAAAACGAAATTTTCTCTTTTTCCTTTACATATTCTGCCAAAACTTTTAAGCGTTCTCTTAACGCATGTTCAAAATTTTTGATATTTAAGCCAATTATATTATAATGAAAATTTATCTTTGATTTTTCTTCTTCAGGGTGTAATTTTTCAAATTCAGTACCCAAAAAGAAAAACAAGTCTGACGTCAAGTTGATGTCAAGTTTTATTATATCGTCCAAATTGTTATAAGAACTACTCACAGCTGTTACATTCATTCCATCTGAATAGACAAAAATTTTTCAATGATCAAAATTTTAGAAACAGTTAAAATTACCAATAAAAAGTTTGAAGGCAGCATATAAACCAACAGGTCCAGAAACTTCCACAACTGCATTTTTATATTCTTTTTTCAAGTTCATTTTATTTTCCAAATGCTTATTGTAGATTATCTCAATAATAGCTTTATTCATTTCTTTGCTTTGTATTTTTGATAAATTAAAAATAATTTTCAAAGAGTTAAGTGCAAGAATATTCTTCAATGCTAAAGAGTGTTTTAAGGAATTGGGTACGTTTTCCATAAAAGAGTATATATATCTAGCAAAGAGCCTTCTGATTCATTTGAATGTAAATCTGCAATGAAAATCTTGCAATTTAAGACTAAATTAGTTAGCGGCTTGTAGTATACTTCCGTGTTTGATGAAGAACTAGAATCCTAGAATTTAAAATATTAGGGCGAGCAATAAGTTTAGTTGGTTCAGCATATTTTTAAATTAATACATTTTTGGATTAATACCATTCCAAATGTTAATTCTTATCTCTTTTGGCATACATATGTATTTCAGCGTTTTTAAAACTCCGTCAAATGTGTTATACCACTGTTTGGGTGTGGATCTTGTTCTATTTAAAGTTTTTAAAATTTTTTAATAAAATTTTGGCGTATCGCAAATGTTCTAATAGAAGCACGGTACCTGATTGAAGAATAGTCTCTAATAGAAGCACACCCTACGAGGGATCGAAAAATAGAAGCCAAGTGGTCTTGAAATAGATATGGTGAGATTAAGAGCTATGATACAACTAAATTAATTAAATACAAAAATAGAGGTTAAAGTTTTTCTTAAGTCAAAAACGCCAGTTATTACCATTTTTATCTCTTTAAAAGTTTTATCATTCTCTATGATTTCATCATATTTTTTTAATTCATTTGCAATAAATTTTGGTTCGTCAAAAGGTATTTTAATATTTTTAAAATTTATTTCCACAAATTCAGCAACTTTAAATACAAGTCTTCCAAAAGCTTCATTAAATGTTTTAAAAAGATCTTCATACTTTTCCTTGTTTTCTTCAAGAAATTTATATTCCTCGAATTTAATCTGGTCATTTCGGTGTACACCTCCACGAGTCATTCCAGTTGAATTATATTCCTCAGCAATTTGTTTTAAACGTTTAATACGATCTTCCTTTAACACTCCATCTATAAAGATAAAAATTTATACAGAATAATCATCAACACCAATTATTATAATAATTTTAAAGAAAAATTTATAAAATAGGGTCTCTTGGGAATGAAACTAGTTTCCACAACCGGTTTTTATTTAAAAACTCGAAGCAAGAAATTTATTTTAAGTTATGAAATTTATTTTTGTGTTGTCAAATATACAATACAGAAATGGATCAAAGCAAAGAAATGGACAAATTATTGCCTTCTTCTTATAGGAAAGGAAATGAGAATAAAAGGGTAGTAGCTTATAGGATGTGAAATACTCAAGTACCGACAAATATTATAGAAGCTTCACAAAATCACTTATATTAGAGCTTAACATAGTGTGTCCACAGATGTTTTTAAATATTAATACCTTCGTCAAAATTGTTTGGAGCAGCGCCAACAATAAAATTCAAAACGAGAATCAAAGCAAAAATTACCAAAAATTTTCCTTTGCCTCGCATTCCACTGTTCAAATAAACTTTCTTCAATAGAGTAGGTTGTAGGTTTTTAAGGGGGGATTTTTAATTTGATAAAGCTTTTCGAATGAAATGAAGAGCTAGGGTGTTGTATATATATTGATGGAATGAAGAGGTAGGTGGATAAAGAGAGGGAGAGAGGGTTTTTACTTAAGAGAGGGTTTTCTCTTAAAGAGAGGGTTTCTCAGTCAAGATGGATTGTCTGACTTGAAATAATTTTTCCATTGTCTGGCAAATTTTATTAGAGAAATTATCCTATTTGTCTATTTAAAATTTATAAATGATAGAGAGCTGATCGAAATTTCGTTCTCTATTTCGTCCCCATTATTGTATTGTTTAGGGACATATAAAACATTTTTTTATTTATTTTTTGTCCGAAAAACTTAATTTTAAAAGAAACGAAATTAAATATTATTTCATGTAGAAATTTTTGTTGAAAAATTTTTCTACTTATTCGGTATATACCCGAAAATTGAGTGCCATTGAATTTGATCGGCTATAACTTCTTGATGCCTTAAACAATACAACTGAATTTTATATCAATCAAGAGCACTTGATAAGCGGCATATTTTTCCAACCTAATGGATCAGAGGTGTTTACAAGAGGAACTCTTGTAAAATATCTGTTGTGTATGGGCGACAGCCCTTAAAGTGTTTACTATAAAAGCCTGCGTATGCGTCAGTCTAGTTGGATCATACTAGCGGGGCTAGTCACTGATCTCCTTCGTCTGTCCAATTCCCTTCGCCTTCATTGTTCATTTCTACTTGTGATAAATTGTTATTGTTGTGCTCGTCGACATCAGTTAAATCTCGGACACCTCGGGTCGTAACAATATTAACTTTTTATATCTTATTTTCTAGATTTTTAATTATGATTAAAACAATTTAAATGAAAAACAAATATATCGAAATTTCGAACTTATTTATTAACCCAATCCTGACAGTCGTATGATTATTTGCCCTTTATTATATTTATTTATGATTGATTATTTGCCCTTATGATTATTCCTCCTCTCTATTTTAATTTAAAAATTAAAACGTAAAGGGCAAAGCTGCGGAATTTTTTTTTAAATTTTTATAATAATTATTGACTTTTATTTAATATTATTTGCCCTTTATTTATTATATTTACTTATGTCAATCTTACAAAGTTTTCTGTATAGGACATTTTCTGGCTCCGTCTGACTTTTTTAAATTTTGGTTCTGACTCCGAACCTTTTTAATATTGGTTCGAGTTTTTGGTTTTGGAAATGCTTCAATATGCTCCAAGTGAAAGATAAATAACTGATTTTTAGCTGCACGCAGCGTACCGCCAAAAATAATTTTTATAGCGCAGCGGACGAAATTCTAAAAATTTAAGCTGTTAAAAATTACAAATTTTTGGCACTTGAATAGTTCCTCCCCCACCTCCTGCTATCTGCACTATTCCTTTATTATACATACACAGCAACTTCTCAACCTGCAACCAAGAACCGTTTCAGTGGCACTGGATTAAATAAGAATTTTTCGAATCAAATTAAAATCTTGAAAATTTAAATAGTATCTTGAAAAATTATACCCCCTTAACTCATTCATTTAAAAAATTTTTTTAAATTAAAAATCTAAATAAAAAACTTAAAAAATTAAAGAAAATTTGTTTTAACAAAAAAATGCGAGGCAAAGCAAAATTGTTGGTAATTTTTGCTTTCATTCTAGCTTCGGATTTTAATGTTGGCGATGCTATGGACAACTTCGATGAAGGTATGAGTATTTAAAAACCTGTTGTGTACACGATACTCGAGAGATATGTTTTTCTGAAGCAAACTTAATATAGATATAAGTGTTTTTAAAAAAATTTTATTCAATTTTATAGATGGAGTGTTAAAAGAAAGTCGCATTAAAGGCTTAGAACAAGTTGCTGAGATAGACATTTCAACTGGAATGCATAGTGGATGTGTATATCCAGATGATCCAATTAAATTTGAAGAATATAAATATCTTGAAAGAAATGTGGAGTATAAAACCCTTTTCGAAACATTTAATAAAGCTTTTGAAAGACTTGTTAATAAAGTTGCTGTTTTTGCTCAACAAAATTTAAAAAATATCAATATATCTCCTGATGAAACAGAAGATATTGCTAATGAATTAAAAAAATATGATGAAATTGTAAAAAATAGTAGAAATATTGATGAGATGTTAGAAGAAAGGGTGATGTTTATATAGGGGCGAAAAAATTTTTTTAAATAGAAATGACAAATGAAATTTGGGAGAACGTTCTAACCCGTGATATATACCGTATTTATTCTAACTCAATAGCCTCCATTTATTTTCAATGCCCCAAAAAGGGTCAATCAATTTGGGGGCCATTTCATTAAATTAAATAAGTATTATAAATTTCAAGGAATCTGCTACTACATTATTAAGAGAAAATTACAAGGAATTGATAAATTTAATTATAAAATGCAAGACTTTCATAATAGATTTAAGTTCAAACGGCTCAGAAGGCTCCTTGATTGATATTTACTCTTTTATGGAAAATGCACCTTCTTCGTTAAAACACCCAAAAGAGTTGTTAATTGTTACTGCTCTAAAGTCTCTGAAATTTATTTTTAATTTATCAAAATTACAAAGCAAAGAAATGGATAAAGCTATTATTGAGATAATCTACAATCAGCATTTGGAAAATAAAAAGAAATTGAGCAAAGAATATAAAAATGTAATTGTGGAAGGTAATGGTCCAGTTGGTTTATACGCTACCTACAAACTTTTTATTGGTATTTTTAATAACTTATACTGGTCATGGTAGTCTGCACTCCCTAGTCTGTATTTTAAATATTAGATCTACTGAATCTATTGTGCCTGATATTATATCTGAATCTAGTTTTTGTTCCTATGAAATAAATGAGCTTGTATCACTGAGCATTTATAAATAGTCAATAAATTATTTCTTAGAAGGAATGAATGTAACTACAGTGAGTGGGTACTCTAACAATTTAGACGATAAGATACATCTTAACAACAAATTTTTGTCAAAAATACGTTTCATATTGGCTACTGAATTTGATAAATTATTTTCTGAGAAAGAAGATTCATTAATAAAATTGGCAGATAATAAAATTGTTCTAAAGCTAAAAGATTTTGAATATTCGCTAAAAGAACGTTTAAACGTTTTGTCAAATTTTGTACAGGAAAAAGGACAAAATTCAGTTTTGAAATTGATAAGCGATAAAAATGTCTTGGACATTATAACTTTTAATGAAAAGCCAATGGCTATTTTAGACAAAGTTGATAAAGAGAAAAACGTTGAAATTCCGTTTGATTTATTTTTCTGCGATTTTACAAAACAAATTAAATATGGTGCTGTTATCCTCAACAAAAAAGATCACAACAAAAGGATATTCAAGGAAAGTAAATTCTTCATAAATATAAAAATGAATTCGAATATTTTATTCGAAAATTTAGGAAAATTGCTTGAAAAATCACTTTTCCTTTCTCAAAAAATTAGACTCCGTTATTTTTGTATTGTTTGGTTGATTTATTTTGGTATGAGAGAGGTAGAAAATAATTCTAAAAGTTCTTTGACTAGAACAGGCAAAGTTTATAAAACATTCGACGATGGAAGACTTTGTTATAATGATAATTCCAAGTATAGCGAGAATATATCTGTCCAAATAAAAGAGACGGAGACAAAAACACAAATTGATTCAAATATACCTGTAGCAATTGTTGAATTAATTGAAGAGGTTAAAATAGAAAGGGAGAAATTGAAGGAGATGAATAAAAAGGAATTTAAAAAGAGATGGAATGAATATATTATTGGTGAAGTAAATTACAAACATAATAAAGAATTGAAGGAGAGATTAGAAGAGGTAAAAAATGAACAAAAGACTATTTTGAAAGAGGACTTAAAAGAATTAAATATTAGAAAGGAACAAATAGTTAAAGAAATAAATGAATGTGAAATAAAACGTAACAATTTAAATTTGTCAAAAAAATTAAAACAAAAAGTGGAAAAAAGAGAAGAACTATTGGAAGAAATAAGAGATATAAAATTGGGAAACAATAAAGAGCGAAAAGGAAAATTTAGAAAAATAACTGAAATGATATTAAAACGAAAATTTAAAAGGAATCAAAAGGAAATCCGGAAAAGATCTAAAAAGTTTAATTACAAATATGGCATTGAACGATTTAGAAATAGTTTTGAAATGTTGAATGAAGAATATGACAGTGAAGATTTAAATAAGGAAATCGAAGAGAATAATATATTTTTAGATGAATTACAAGAATTAGACGAAAAATATCCGAATGGAGAAATCGGAAAAATAAAAACTGAAGAAGGTAAAAAATTAAAAAAATCCTTAAAGTTATATAAGGATTATAAGAAAATAGAGGAGATTATAAAACAATTGGAAAACAAACGTGACAATTTAGAGGTGTCAAAAAATTTGAAAAATAAAATTAACGAAAAAGAAGAAATAATGGAAAAAATAAAAGAAATTGAAGACAATAACTATAAAGAAAAGAATGAAAAATTAGACAAAATAAGAAAAGAACAAGAGAAAATATTGGAGGAGAAGTTAGAAAAGATAAAATTTGAAAATGATAAAATTGTTAAAGGAGACCTGGAAGGTGAACGGAAACAAATGTTGAAAAAATATGCTGATTTTATTGTTGAATTAAAAGAGAGATGGTTTAGAGCACTTTTTTATCATGTATTGGATAAAGAATACAAAAGTGAAGACAAAAAGAATGTTAAAATTGAATTAAGCAAGGAAGAAGGGGTAAAAGGAGAATCAAGTACTAGCCATAATGCTGAAACAAATCAAGATGAAGGAGAGGAACATGTTCTTTATTTTGACAAAAACAGTTTAATAGGAAAACCATGCTTACTAAAAGCTTATGGAAAAGAAAATGCAGTAAAACTAGTTAAAGGGAAGAAGGATTCGGCAATTTTTGTGAATATGAACGGTGAAAATACTACAGGCAAAATAAATGAAGGTAAGTTTTTAACGAAAACTGTTCTCTTCATTTTCACGCCGCAAGCGAAAAGTTTGAGAATTTTGGAAGAACAAGTCACCAGATTTCTTCCTTTTTAGCTCCCATAATTAATAAAAATTCCCGATTTTTTCCCGATTTTCAGAAAAAATTCGTGAATCGGGAACGTGAATTCACGAGAATTTCAAATTCACGATTTTCGTGAATCGGGAATTCACGAAAATTTCAAAATCGCGATTTTCGTGAATCGGGTATTCACGAGCCAAAAATCGTCAAGAATTTACGATTTTCGTGAATTCGGAAATTTTGCTTTTTCGTACGGGAATTAAAATTATGAGGAGTTAGATGTACTGAGGTTCTTAATTGATCATTTTTAATGCTAACCCAAAGGATTTTTGTAGTGAGTCCTTTAACAATAAGTCCGAAACAATGCTTTTCGAACCCACTCGTAACTACATTATTACCATGTACCTGCGAAACATGCGTCGGGACTGGTAATTGAGTTACTACGACTTTTCTGCAAAAGCGGATAGCTTTATTAAAATTTTTATTTTAAATTTTTGAAGGTCTGATCGAAGTTGAGAAAACAGTTTCTGCTATTAAAGAATACAGTAAAAATAGCGAACGAAAGGATTTAGCAGATATGTTAATGGAAATTTTGAAGAAACCAAAGTTAAATTAAAAAGTATTAAATGAAAGAAAAAATTGAAGAATGTAAAAAATGTAAAATTTATAAAAGACTGATTTCAAAAACAAAAAAAGAAAAAAAACACAATGATTCAACCAGACTATTTTTTATTTAATTTTCAAAACAAACATTTAAAAAGATATCCGTGGAGGGCAAAACACATTCCATCCGTCCGATACATTAGAGTAAAACTAGAAATTTAAAGATAAGAGTTGTTGTTACTAGACAAGAAACAATACACTTAGGTATCAGAATTATTAAGATAACATATATCGACATAAATCTAATTTATGATAGAAGTGGATAGTGTATTTTAGTTTATTGTGCTTGTATTTTGGATGGCCTGTGCTTTGTCCTTCATCCAACGATATCACACCGGTTATTTATTTAAAAATTTTGATTATTTCCCCTGTAAATATTCATTCCAAATGGTCATAAAATTATCATCCATGGCCAAACCCTTGTATATTTTTTAACCTTGAACTACCCTAACGACAACCGTTTTGAAAACTATTTTTTAAATTTTATTTAACATTTTTATAACCATTATTCGTAGATTTGTATAAATTTTAGTTGCAAATTTATATATTTTTTACGGGGAAAATGGTATTCTATCAAAAAATATTTAAAAGTCGAAAACTCTCCAGAAAATAGACTTCAGAAAAAAATCCGCAAAGTTTTAACAATTTCATATGTTCTAATGGCAAATTCTAAGCAAAAACAAGTCGAAGGATCAAAAACCAAATAAAACTAAAATCTTTATGCCCGATTAAAAGTAAAAATTATAAAGAATGTTGAATAAATCGGACTTGCTCATGGACATGGATTTTGGTATCCGTAAAGTAAATAAGGGTTAGAACAAGAAACGTAGAAAGAAATATTGAATGATTGGTAATATTAAAACAAAAAATTATTTCCGAGACTTAAAGAAAATTTAAAATTTTTTCAATGACTAAAATTTGCTAAACAAAACCAAACATTAGTGAGTAGTTACCCCCCCCCACAAGGTTGCACTGCGTGCAACCTTATGGAGGAGGAAGTCGGCAAATCAAAGGAAACCAAAAGGTAAAGACACATTTCATATTCCTAACCACCCTTTTTTTACCACCCCTTGGTTGCAGGGCAGTAGTTAACTAGTCCCCTTTCGCTCCACAACCCAAATCGCTCTTCTACCCAAATAGCTCTTCCTTTTTTCAAGGTAGCTACCCAAATCGCTCACTCCTTCATCAATAAAACCTAAGCCTATAGGGGGTATTTTTTGATATTTGCCACAAACACCTTTCTTTGGGAAGTGTTTAGGGGTAATTAATCACGATTAATTAGGGTAATTAATCATTCCATTATTAATTTCCCTTTGGCTGATACTTTGTGGGGAATGAAAAAATAATTTTTGTGACGTTTCATGGTGAGACACATTTTGTTAAAAAATTTGACAATATGAAATTTGACATTTTGAAATATTTTTAGTTTTGATAGAAAAATTTAAAAGGGACTTTCTAATTTAAAAATAAATTTAAAAAATTAAATAAAAATAGTTTTAATTAAATAAAAATGATAAAAAATAAAATTTACAAAATTTTGCATAAAATATAAAATGATTTTAAAAAATGACCGGAAGTACAAATGTAAGGGGTTTATTTCAAAATGCCAAATTTAAAAATTGGCGGGCATTTCAAAATTTAAAAAATTTCCAAAAAAATTTAAAATGTCAAAAAATAATAAAAATAAATTATAAAATTTAATAAATAATTATAAATTAAAAAATGAGGGAAAAAATTTGACAAAATTCTAGAAAAAAATTAAAATGATTTTAAAAAATGAACGGAAGTCAAATGTAAGGGGCGGAGCTAATTATTTCGAAATACCAACATTAAAAATGTCAAACGATAAAATGCCAATTTTCAAAATGTCAAACGACAAAATGCAAACTTTATAAATGTCACCGACAGATTGATGATTTTAGAGCGAATAGATTTTACTAGTATCATCATTTGTCCTTGACATAAAATATTTCGTAATCGACTATCCGTCTGAAACGAAGAGTATAAAAGGCAAAGTTTTTAACATTCTTAACCATTCAACTCAAAACCAAAAATACTTTCTACAATTTAAAATTAAAAACTTTAAAATGGCATTTAATAACGATCAAACTGCACCCTCTGCCAATAAGCGCGCAAGATTTCTCATCCGTGATCTTCTTCCACATTTATTCATTGACACACAAACCGGTGCAGGCGCATTAAATTTGCAAAACTATTATCGACAAATAGACTACGATACATCATTTAATCGTAAATTTAAAATAATGGGGACAACAGGCAAGTTTATTATTGAAAAGCTACCCGAGAATCCGGAGGAACTACTGAGAAAAATAATTCACGATTGTATGGATCAAACCATCGAAGCCTCAAGAAGGCAATCAATTGAACCTGACCGATTAGGAGCTATAATATCTTCACAATTATTAGACAACGACATATGGATCCCAATTAGAAAAATTGAAAATGATACTATCGATAACATTCTCAATAGATTCCAGCTTGTTTCTCAATCTAAGATAGAAAAAGGTTCTCTTCTTGGCCAACCATTCACAGTTAAAATCCAGACACTTGGTATTTCATCATTGCCAAAGAATCAATCAATTAGAGGACGCGCACCCCAAGAAAATTCTGCAATAATTACACATATAAATATTGATCGATTAATAAAAATTTCAAACCCAAACAATTTATGTTTATTCTATGCGCTGGAAATAACAAGAAAATATTTTGCTAAAGAATTGGGCGCTAAATGGAACTTTTCAAGATATTTAAAAAATGGTGACAGACAAATGGATGATGTTTTCAACCTCCTAAAATCAGTAAAAATCCCTCATGATCTTCCTGAATATGATGCTGTGGAATATGTACCAGTTGTTGTCGATTTTTGGAATAATAAATACAAGGATGCAGGCTATAAATTTAAAGTATTTATTTTTGGAAGTATCAGTGAGAAACCTATATTCAAATATGGGAACGATAATTTTAACATGCCTATTTCAATTTTTCACAAAGATAACCATTTTGATGGAATAAGATTTGTTGGAGGTATGTTTGGGTTGAAACACAAATACTGCTTTACCTGTGAAAAAAAGTTTCGAAAGTCAAAGGAACATGATTTGAAATGTAAATCTCTCTGCAGATTATGTGGACGCGTTGGAAGTGAACGACCTTGTGTGGCAACAGGAGACTTTTACAAGAAATGTGATGAATGTGGGAAAATATATTTGAATGGAGAATGCTTCAACCATCACAAAAAGAGTAGCAATTGCCGCCAAACAAAACAGTGTGATAAATGTGGAGTAATCTGGTCAATGAAAAATTACAAGAGAGAGGCTGAAAAGAAACATGTTTGTGGTCAAAAGTGGTGTCAAATTTGTCGACAGTTTCACAACGTGGATAGAGGATGTTTTATTCGCCCCTTGGAACTGAAAAAAGGAGTTGATTATCGTCTGGTTACTTTCGATTTTGAGGCCACACAAAATGAAGTGATAAAAAATGATAATGAAGAAAGACGGCTACACAACGTAAACTTTATCGCAGCAACAGTAACTTGTACAAAATGCATGGAAAATGAACAATTATGGCGCTCACCTCTAAGGCAAAAAGGAAATAGTTGTACAATCTGCGGGAACAATCGATCCATAACATTTTCACACCGTCCATTCAATCAAACAAAAGTTGATAAGCAAATCGTCACACAAAACCCGCTTAAATTCTTCATCCAATGGGTTCTTTTTGAACTTAACCCTCAATATACAACAATGGCATTTTCACACAATGGAGGGCGTTATGATATGATTATGGTGTTCAAAGAAATATATGTAAATGGTGTTGTTCCCTCAATAATTCGTCGTGGTAATAAACTTTATGAATTGAAAATTCCCCGCAACAATAAATGCAATGAGGTTATATTCCGGGACTCGTATAACCTTTGTCCAGTCGCTCTGGGGAAGCTAATTGGTGCATTTGGGCTACAAGTAACTGAAAAACAATTTTTCCCGCATTTGGCAAACATCTCTGAAAATTATGGTAGAACTCTACAACAATTACCCCCGAAATCTGATTACTTATATGGAGGAATGCCCCCTCAAAAGCAAAACGAATTTGATAAATGGTATGAAGTAGAAAAAAATAATCAATTTTGTTTGGATGAGGCTTTGGCTGAATATTGCACAAACGATGTACAAATACTTACAGAAGCATTGATCGCCTTTAGAAAAAAATTTTCGGAGATCAGCAAAAAGAAAACTACACGACCTGGAGCAGTAGTTGAAGGAATCGATATTTTGAAGGATGCAATGACAATCGCATCGGCATGCATGAAACATTTCCGACTCAATCATCTGCAGCCTGAACATTTGGCAATTGTTCC